TGAGACATTCTCGCAAAAAATCACGGTTTTAGTAATGCAGTAACGCAGCGTTACTACGGGAAAGTAATGGTAATCTAATTACCATTTTTGCAATAGTAATCCCTTACTTTACTCGTTACTTGAAAAAAGGAATCAGATTACAGTACTTTACTGCCCATCTCTGGTTGTTGGTGCTCTGCAGCATTTCCAGCACGTTCTCCTCTGCAGGTTTCGGTACATTTAATCAGTTCATGGGACTGTGGCGGCTCATTGGACATCTTTAACCTTCACACCAACTCAAACCCAAATATCTTCACACAGCAGTCTCACTGATCTTTCATCTTCACGTTCTTGTTCCTGATCGATGTATCCAGAAACTGCAGCATCTAACCTGTGTTCACTCCTTGAGAGAATGAGCACCGACGTGCTGTCAGAAGCTTAGCATGAACTTTGAACCTGTTCTCAGTGTTTTTCATTCAGGCTGAGCTGCAGCTCGTGTTTGGTCAGATGGAGGTTTGTGTCTGAGCTCTGAGCTGGAGAGAAAAACACACGATCAGGACGAGACAGGAAACAAAAGCTTACATGTTGATAAAACTGTTATTTCAAACAGAGTTGGGTGTGTTTCGTAACTATTAGACCTTATAAGGCAGCAGCAGAGAGCGGGTCAGAGCTGCAGACTACTGCTGTTTGCTCTGAAAACACACAAAACATCCAGCAGACACACAGCGACCAGCCGGCAAACACTGAGCTAATGTCCAGCCAAAAGCCAAAAATATCACCAACATACAACGACTGTGAAGCCAGCAGCGAGCACGCTCTGAGCTGACATCACAGCAGTAACCATCCGACAGCCCCTCTTGCAAGTGAAGGCCCACCGGAGCCCACTGGAGGGCAGGCATGTATACTGCTCTGTCCTCACCCAGGACCAGTTTGCCCTGGGAGGCCAGTAGCTCCTGGGTTCATGCTGGTGTGGTAACCACCACCATGATGAGGTGATTCACAGGTAGGTGTGTCAGGAACCACCGCACTCATCTGATGCTGAACAACTACAGATGCTACTGATACTCACAGCCGTGTCGGGTGTTACAGGTCATCAGAACAAGGACTGAGCTGCAGATGAAAATACGGTTTCCTCAGAGTCACATGATCAGCTGATCACATGATGCCTCTGAGGTGTGCACATGCTCAGAGCATGTTTGTGATGTCACTCTCTGATGGTTGTTTCCTCTGATAGGAGAATGACTGACGTGCGGTTGGCTTCAGTTTCCACCGTCTCCAAGGTTACAAGCCTGTCACAAGGATGCGGTTCCCACGGCAATGAGCCTCCAGCTTTCGTCCTTCCTCCCCGTAATGCCCGGGTCACGCTGGGGGCAGAAGCTCGACTGGAGGGCAAGGTGAGACTCTGATTGGTTCTTTTTACCTCTAAACCTGAAACAGTGAACAGCGTTTACACCTCTGAGGTGGTTTACGGTGGACTCGACACCGTGAAGATAACTAAGATGTGAGATATTTCCACCTGCTCTGAGTTCGGACGAGCTGAGAATGAGACGTCCCGGCACTCTGAACTCTGGATGAAGCCGACCTTCAGTCTCTGGAGGTTCATCAGAGCCGATGTCAGCAGCAGCTGAGCTCTTCAGACATGCAGCCTTTCTTATCAGACGGAGGTTTCAGCCCACTTTAAACTCTGGCTTTGTATAAATAGTTGTGTTCCTGTGACCTGAGCGAGCGGTGCCAGCGTGCATCAGGAAGCTGTAATCACCACAGTTTGACCAAATATAAACATGGAGGCTAGAAATGAGGCTCTGTGTATGAGGAAAGCCTCAGGAGACGCTGACGCCCTCACAGAGTCACAACAGACTGAAGATCAAAGTCAGACTGGCTCATTTTAAACGACTCACTTTAATGCAGAAAATTTATTGTTAAAACTTCATGATGATTTATACGTGTTAATATATCATTTCCTCTTTTCTGAGCACTTTGCAACCTGTATGCCTTCCTCTTATATATATTCCTCTTCATTATTATTTATTTCTGCACAGTCAAAGGAGCTTGGAGAGAAAAGCATCTGGACTTCTTTAAGTTGCTTGAAGACGTTTCACCTCTCATC